GAACAGGGCACGAATGACCATGTTACAAAGGGCAACCAGAAATAAGAGACACATATACCAAGAAACCAGAAGGGAAGTTACGAAAATGTGCAGGAAGAAAGAAATAGAATGGGAAATAGCCAAACTAAATGTTATAGAGGACTTATCAAGAGAGGGAAACATTAGAGGAATGTACATGAAGATAAAAGATGAAAAGAATGGATACCAAGCCACATGGGCGCCCGCAGGGGGGCAAGGGGGGCACTTGCCCCCCCCCCTTGGATTGATTGGATACAATTTTTTAGACAAAATTAGACAAAAAATTTATTAAAGTAAAGAGAAAATAAAGAGAAAGTAACTAAGCTGATGTCCTGTCCGATCGTTCACCATACGAATACGCTACAGTAAATTAAAACTACATTAAAACATTACTAAAAAAATGTTTTCCCTCTCCCTAGAAAGTTAATCGATTTTTTTTGCCCCCCTAGAAAGTTAATCGATTTTTTTGCCCCCCCCCCCCTAGAAAGTTTTCTGCGGGCGCCCATGCCAAGCCAGACCGCTAATGTGAGAGTCTGGATGGAGATTTACTGACGGAAAATAGTCACGTACTGGAGAGGTAGACTGAATATTTTGAGGACTTACTGAATGCAGACAAGACGAGGTTTATCCACCACCACATGGATTACCAGACAAAAAAATTTTTTCCCTCTCCCCAAAAAGTTAATCGATTTTTTTTGCCCCCCTAGAAAGTTAATCGATTTTTTTGCCCCCCCCCCCCCTAGAAAGTTTTCTGCGGGCGCCCATGCCAAGCCAGACCGCTAATGTGAGAGTCAGGATGGAGATTTACTTACGGAAAATAGTCAAGTACTGGAGAGGTAGACTGAATATTTTGAGGACTTACTGAATGCAGACAAGACGAGGATTATCCACCACCACATGGATTACCAGACCCTGTAATAAGCTCCTCAAATTTGTAAGAAACTAAAGAAGTAATGAACTGTGTGAAAAGCCACAAAGCCCCTGGAGCAAACCTCAACACAGCAGAACCTATTAAATATGGAGGAAGAGAACTACATACTCAAGATACATAATCTTATAACTAAAATTTGGCAAGAAGAGAAAATTCCAACAGAATGCGAAACAGCAATAATAACCCCGATACACTAGAAATGTTCCATAGTTAAATCCAAAAACTACAGTGGAATTTTTCTATTAAATATTTCATACAAAATACTGACAAAACTAATTGACAAGATATTGCAACTGCACACTAAAAAAATACTTTGTGATTACCAATGTTTATTCAAACAAACAAATCAACGACTGATCAGATTTAAACCATCAGCTGCTTATTAAAGAAATGTTGCGTATACAATATTCCAATGCACCAACTTGATGTGGACTATTAAATGGCCTATAACAACACCAAAGGGAAAGTTCTATATGTATACGAGATTCTGCAGGAGTCTTGCATATCCAACAAACTAACGAGACAGATACATAAAACATTAAACAACTCAAAAAACAAAAATCTAGTTTCATGGTGAATATTCAAGGCAATTTTGGATTAGACGAGACCTAAGACAGAGAGACTCATCGTCATGTATGATATATGACTGCTGGCCGAACGCTCTAAACTTAATCCAAAAAAAAATTCTTGAGTTGAATCCCCCACCAAAGTTCAGACAAGAAAAAACATCACCAGCATCCCGGGGGGTGGGGGGTGGGGGGTGTGACTCTGAATTCAAACCCTGAGATGGAGTCCATTAGATGGATAATGGGCTGGCCCAAACCATTGCGGGGCCCTATGCGAAACGGATTGCGCGGGGCCTAGTCTGGGTAGGGATAAGGATAATAAGTGAAAAATTAAGATTTTGTATTAGAAAAAAAAAAAGTGCGGGGCCCACTGTGGCCGCATAGGTTGCAGTGGCCTAAGGCCGCATAGGTTGCAGTGACCTAAGGCCGCATAGGTTGCAGTGGCCTAAGGCCGCATAGGTTGCAGTGACCTAAGGCCGCATAGGTTGCAGTGGCCTAAGGCCGCATAGGTTGCAGTGGCCTAAGGCCGCATAGGTTGCAGTGGCCTAAGGCCGCATAGGTTGCAGTGGCCTAAGGCCGCATAGGTTGCAGTGGCCTAAGGCCGCATAGGTTGCAGTGACCTAAGGCCGCATAGGTTGCAGTGACCTAAGGCCGCATAGGTTGCAGTGGCCTAAGGCCGCATAGGTTGCAGTGGCCTAAGGCCGCATAGGTTGCAGTGACCTAAGGCCGCATAGGTTACAGTGACCTAAGGCCGCATAGGTTGCAGTGACCTAAGGCCGCATAGGTTGCAGTGGCCTAAGGCCGCATAGGTTGCAGTGGCCTAACACCGCATAGGTTGCAGTGGCCTAAGGCCGCATAGGTTGCAGTGGCCTAAGGCCGCATAGGTTGCAGTGACCTAAGGCCGCATAGGTTGCAGTGACCTAAGGCCGCATAGGTTGCAGTGGCCTAAGGCCGCATAGGTTGCAGTGGCCTAAGGCGGCCCAGGAGGGATAGCATGGACGCAATGAACTCCTGCGACGCTAATGGTGCCAAGCTGTATCGTCCACGTATGATGTTCTCTTGGCTCATCCAGGTGCGCGGACACTTAGAACGAATGCCAAATAACAAGGAAGTGCAGGCGGTGCACCACCAAAACCCCAGACTAAAACGGCTCAAAGGCAGACCTTGACTTAGATGAATGGATGATGTGGGGAAAAGATCTACAGCAGCTGGGAATCCAAGCATGGTAAAGAAAAGCCTCTGTTAGATCTCATTGGAAGGAAGTGGTGAGCCAGGGATGGACGGAGCGATGGCGTACACCCTTGTTCGTAAATCTTTTGTGTGAAGAAAGTAGCTCCCAGCATGGTAGTATCACGTGACACTACAGACTCGTGATATACATTCGTATCGACTTTTTAAAACAAAGATCTGTAAATAGTGTTGTAAAAGAGCTCAAGAAGAATTGTCCCGCAGTTCATGATACATTCGAAATTGGTTTTGGCCCACTCAGCATAATGACCTTACATTAAACAAACCCTTAAAAGCCAAGTTTTTCTTATAAATCTTTTATAAATGTAATATCGGGAAATTGGGTTAAGGGGGGGGGGGTTGGAGCTGAAAGTTTGAAAAAAATTATGCATGCAAGTAACGCACTTTATTAAGAGTCACCTTTAGTGCTGCCAATCAAAAGAAAATGTTACGCACCCCGAGAAACCAGTGTCATGGTATTTCTTTCATTTTCCCCTTGAAAAACAAGAACAATGCTTTTTGGGTGTTGCGGGGTGGGGCTGAACATTTAAGAGAAGGTGTTGTCATCGGCAACGATTCTGTCTGCCCAGTTTTAGCTCGATAGGTTGACGAGAAGTGGTTCAGTTAGCCGTCCGAGATTATTTCAGTCACGAACAAAAAGCGATGTAAATAGGAAGGATTTTTTAAAAAATATTTCCGTATTTCCAAACAAAAGTCCAATCTATGTGTTAAGTCAGGAATGGCTTGCTGTTGCACACCCCCCCCCAAATCTACACGCCCCGTTTCTTGGTTCCTGGCTACGCCCTTATCTACGTGTTTATCAAAAAAGCGATGTAAATAGGAAGGATTTTTTAAAAAATATTTCCGTATTTCCAAACAAAAGTCCAATCTATGTGTTAAGTCAGGAATGGCTTGCTGTTGCACACCCCCCCCCCAAATCTACACGCCCCGTTTCTTGGTTCCTGGCTACGCCCTTATCTACGTGTTTATCTGTAAGTCCTTATTTTGATCACAACCAAAACTGCCCGTGTAGCGCCAAAGATCACTTAAAAACCAAGTGACTTATCTAAGTGGACCAAAAAGGGGCAAAACAAGAACAGCGCTCTTGACCAGCTGATCTTTATAAATCCATTTACTTAACATGGCGTGAAGTCTGTTTGAATGGTATCCACAGCAGCACGGTAAAAGGAAGTCTCGTGTGCTGTATTCACTGGAAGCAAGGAGTGGACATAGACGTCTGTGCACCAGTCAGATTTGGAGACCTTTATGTAATCGCCAATTACTTTAATCAACTTCTCTTATATTTGGATACCTACCTAGCATTGGATACCTAACATTGGACACCTAGCATTGGATACCTAGCATTGGATACCTAGCATTGGATGCCTAGCATTGGATACCTAGCATTAAATACACAGCTGATACCACAAGTTGCCTATTCAGATTTTTCTTTTTTACTCTTCGTAATGAACAGGACTTGAAATGGCTGCCATTAGAGACCATGGGGTCTATTCGCCAAGGTTTGTTTTTTTAGAATCGGCACTGAGAGAGTGTGCCAAATATGTATAAAAATAGATGGGAGGTGAATAATCATAATCCCCCCACCACAGGGGTTCTAAACCTTCTAATGCCGCGGCCCTTTCATACATTCCTCATGTTATATTGAACCCCAACCATACAATTATTTTCGTTGCTACTTCATTAAAATATGTGTTGCCCGAAGGTCTTAGGTGACCCCTGTGTAAGGGTCGTTCGACCCCCCCCCCCCATTGAGTCACAGGTTGAGAACCGCCGCTCAAGCATGAGCCACTAAGACAAATTTGCTTCTATGTGCAGACACTCCAACTCCTTAATGACAAAATTAGATTTAATTTGTTAATGACATTAAAATATGTGTTGCCCGAAGGTCTTAGGTGACCCCTGTGTAAGGGTCGTTCGACCCCCCCCCCCCATTGAGTCACAGCTTGAGAACCGCCGCTCAAGCATGAGCCACTAAGACAAATTTGCTTCTATGTGCAGACACTCCAACTCCTTAATGACAAAATTAGATTTAATTTGTTAATGAATAATTGTTAACATAAAATTAACCGCTTTTGCTTCTTTTCTTTGCAAGAGACCACATTTTTTTTTAAAGTTACTCATTGAAACATAAGTATTGTGTACAGTGCTGAATATTTTAACTTGTAAGTATACAAAATGTATCATATTTTGACCCAGATCTAATTTTACCTAATAATTCCCACTTTTTATGTTTCTGTAGGGAAATCGCTATGGCGAAAGAGAGCAAGAAACGACAATTGATACGTCAGAGATTAGCGAGTGCTAAATCTGAGGAGAACTTGGTGGATGGCTGCACCGATGGTGAGGAGTACGCGAGTGGCCTGGACGAGGCGCTCAAAGCTTTATCGTGGTGAGTACCTACACACAACGGTTCTTAAATATTTCAGGAAATGCATTAAACAAAAGGGGATTTTACAGTGCCGGCGCACATTAGTCTGCTAAAATATTGCTGGCTATCCCACTATGCATCACAAAAAGATAGCTAATCCATTTTTTTTTAAAAAGCCATAATTCATGGGTGCGCTGCTTCTCATTGTAACTAATCTTTAGAGGCGACTAAAAATGTCACTTGCGTACATACATTCAAATTTGAAATAAATTACAATAGCTCACTTATATGATGATGTGGTGCTGAACTTTTCCCACAACGAAGTAGATAAAGTTAGCATTATCCTCTAATTGTCAAAATCGAAATGGATGATGTCCAATTGTTTTCATAGAATTGTTTACGGATAAATGTACAGACTATTTCGGAAAGTGGGAGAAGTCTCTCACAAATCTTATAATAGACAATATGAAATTAGTTGGGTTGTTTTTCTGCACTCCTCTTGAACATTTGTTGTTTTTTTATGAGAAGTTGTATTTGCAATATGCACTCGGCTGTCGTGAAAGACGCAAGACGCACTTAACAACCCAGACTGAGCTGCTTGATATGAAACTCTTGCAAAAGTGCCTCGTTTTCCAGTTTGAGCCAGGAATGAGCCCGGCAGTGCAATGTATTGGATCAGACATAGGGCGCAATCTTGCGATCTCCAATGCAGAGACGAAATGTTTAAGAACTGGTATATCCACAATTTTAGCTTTGTGGCGAAGCTTTCTTAGAAGTCTATCACTCTAGTACTCTTTGTAGCCCCAGACAATCATTTCAGAAGTTAAAGAAATTGTTTAAAATCATTTCAAATACAACAAGGGCATTGTTCCGTTTTCCAGGATCCTGTCTCGCACCTGACCTAAGCTGAATTCCCCTCATTAAATTCAACCTTCAGCCAGCATCAACATTGTAGTGGTCACAAGGTCTCTCGTACGTAATGAACTCGTTAATACTGCTTGTATGAGTGAACCTATGTCTATTGCCGTTATTTATTTATTTTTTTTATTTTTTTTTTGTTGTTTTTTTGCGTTGACTGACTCCGCCCAAATGGTGGGTAGTGTTCTGCACAGGTGGACGAGCCAGCTCACGACAAGTTTTAACGTCCTAGTCAAGACATGGATTTCTTGTCTCGTGTTTGAAGCTGGCTTTGCTTGTTAGCAGCATTTATATTAGCATCGGCATTAAGCTATTTTTATTTTTGGTTGATTTTTTTTTTAATTTAATATGGCTGATAAGTGTTTTGGTGGAATGGATTTTAAACAAAAGACATAATTGAATACAGTGTGATTTTTTTTTAAATGTAGGCGAAATAAATATGATAGCATTGATGATTGGCAGGGGTCAGGGCAGAAAAAAAGTCAACGCCAAGAGATTTAAGGGCATGTTCTCTACTGCTTTGGACTACAACAAACTCTTGCTTTCGAAGTTAACAATTCAGTAATTTACAATGCTACAAGATAAACGGGATATACCGATTGCAGTTTTGATTGGGATTACAAGTCTATTCTAATTCAGCTGTGTCTGTGTCTTTTATAGCACGTGCTCTAGTTGTAAATGGTGTTGTTTTTCGTCCTCCGCACTCGGGGATGACCAAGGCTCGAGTAGTAGCTATGGTTGATTGTGTTTAAAGTGAGGGAGAGGTGCTCAATTCGTCAGCGACACTCACTCGCCCCTTGCCTATTTGTTCCAAAGACAAAGACTTGGTCAAGACGACTGGAAATAGGCAAGGATACAGTAGACGACCAGCAGTGCGCCCTTGTGTGTTTCACTGTACACTTCATGCGCTCTACGGGTTGGATGTCAGAGTTTGCCTTCTCCAAGATGAGTTGCCTTCCAAGGTTAACGAGTTCCATCCAACTGGGGTGCCGTGACGCTTTTGCTTGGCAGCTGGGTGGCCAAATGATCTAAAATGAGCCTATCCCAAGCTAGTGGCGTCGAGTTCGATCCCGAGTTATAAATAATACTATGAGGAAACCCTTGCACTCGCTCGCCTATACAACCCGACCATCAGTTTCGGACACATTGTCAACTGTATTATTATTATTAAGTATAACATTATGATTTTACTAATGGATTTTCAGTTGAATGTATGCCTAAAAGTTTCTTATCTTTTGTTAAGAATTATAGGGGGAAAAAAATGCGGTCAGGTGACCTGGATTTAAACTATGGTAATGGGCCAAAACTCCACACACATCAACAACCATAAATGCATACACATGGACGCGGGCGTACATAGGGCTTATTGATTTAATTTTTTAGAGACGTTACATTTGTTCACTTAACGTCACAGAGTTGCCATGAAATTGAAGAAATAAGGCTGAAACGTTGTTTTTTTTTTTATATTATTAAACTATTTAATTCCACAAAATAATTGCAACTCATCCACGATTACGGTGTACCATGTGTCATTGAAAAAAATGTTTTAGAATATTATTTTCCACGAGAGAGAGAAAGAGAGAGTGTGTGTTGGGGAAAAGGGGGGGGGGGTCAAAAGCAGTGTAGTTAAAGTTTTTGACGCCCGGGTGTGCTCATTGCCTTTCCCGCCCCTTATACCAAGTTGTATGCAGAATATGCATCAACAATAATTCAGTCAAAGTATGTAACTATGAAGTAAACAAAAGACACCACTCCTTCCCCCCAACCCCAAAGGTGCTCTCCTAAAACTGCCGCCCATGGTGAGACGCCCCCTTAATACGATTGTGGTCACAAGTTTTGAGCAGACCCTGAGAACTTGAGCAGACCCTGAGAACTTGAGCAGACCCTGAGACTTGAGCAGACCCTGAGGTCTTGAACAGACCCTGAGGACTTGAGCAGACCCTGAGGACTTGAGCAGACCCCGAGGACTTGAGCAGACCCCGAGGACTTGAGCAGAACCCGAGGACTTGAGGAGACCCTGAGGTCATGAGCAGACCCTGAGGACTTGAGCAGACCCCGAGGACTTGAGCAGACCCTGAGGTCTTGAGCAGACCCTGAGGTCATGAGCAGACACCGAGGACTTGAGCAGACCCCAAGGACTTAAGCAGACCCCGAGGACTTGAGCAGAGACTTAGGACTTGAGCAGACCCCGAGGACTTGAGCAGAGGCTGAGGACTTGAGCAGAGACTGAGGACTTGAGCAGACACCGAGGACTTGAGCAGACCCCGAGGACGTGAACAGACCCCGAGGACTTGAGCAGAGACTGAGGACTTGAGCAGACCCCGAGGACTTGAGCAGAGACTGAGGACTTGAGCAGACCCCGAGGACTTGAGCAGAGACTGAGGACTTGAGCAGACCCCGAGGACTTGAGCAGAGACTGAGGACTTGAGCAGACCCCGAGGACTTGAGCAGACCCTGAGGACTTGAGCAGACCCCGAGGACTTGAGCAGACCCTGAGGACTTGAGCAGACCCTGAGGACTTGAGCAGACCCCGAGGACTTGAGCAGAGACTGAGGACTTGAGCAGACCCCGAGGACTTGAGCAGACCCCGAGGACTTGAGCAGACCCTGAGGACTTGAGCAGAGACTGAGGACTTGAGCAGACCCTATTTTTAACATTGTATATATATTTTTTTTTCTGACTTTGTATCTCCGTGGTTGTAAAGCATGGCTGAAGTGCATAATTTTGAAAACTAATTTCACAATTTAAAGTTTTAAAAATAGTATTCAAGAATTATGCCTGCTAATTGAAAGATTTGAAATAACAGAAAAATTTGAAACAGCTGCTGACAATGTCACCGTCGGAATGGTAATGGCAATGTCACCATCGGAAGGGTAACGACCATACCACAGTCGGAGGGGTAACGACCATACCACAGTCGGAGTGGTAATCATTTATGAAATATATTCTTAATTATTTTTAAAATCACTCTGAACACCAAAAATATAAACACATGAACACCGAAAATCTCCGAACCATCGTTATCTTAATTCAATTCTACATTTTAAAATCTATCCAACTATGAGTCATAAAACTCAATCATTTTTTTTTTTTAGCGAAATTAATCTAAGGCCAATTTTTTTTTCCAATGCATTTTCAGTTCGTTATCTCGTGTTCAATAGTCATAAACATGTAACGGCTGTCTTGATGGTGTTTTTATGTGGATGAATCATAGCACGCTAGAACCACAGTGCGGTCTGATTGTATGTACGTTCACATGTGTAGCCTCTCATCCTCTTATAAATTACTGTGGCTCACCTCCTAACTTTAAGTAGTTTTTTTTTTTGTTGTTGTTGCTTATCTTGTATTCTCTGAGCAATGTACTTGTCTTAAATTATGTATGGTCCAAGCAATAACCAATAGTTTGTTTTTTTGCTCGTGGGACGCAGCAATTTCGGTGCCTAGCGCACTGGTTACAGTCAGTGGCGTAGAAAAGGGGCTTCGGGGGAGGGGGGGGGGCTTAATGGTATTAGTGTATGTTTTAAAAGTGGGATGGAGCGGCCGCGGAGCCCCTGAGAAGTGTAGGCGGAGCCCTAAGGGATATGGAGCACATGTGGGGAACCACTGCTCTATATTTATCATAAGGTACATTAAAACAGGGTTCTACGTCTGCGGAGTTCTCAAAATGTGAACCTATGTTTCCCGACTACTATCCGGGGAAACAAAACGGTGACGATGCTGTAATGTTATTTACCGCTCCGTGTTTAAGGTTTAATTACCAGCCGTAGAAATCTGGATATTTCTCGAGATATCCTCAAAATAATGATACAAGTCTTGTCATACATACATACCAAACAGGTCAATGGTGCATGGCGTTTGAAGATCATATATTAAATGCACCTTGCATCCAATCAGAACAAGTATAATTAATCGAAACCAGTAGCCTTTGAAGCGTTCAGTCGCCGATGTATTTTATCGATCCAGATGTGCACTGCTATTGTATGTGCAAGGATGTTGATACGTTAGATTTTTTTTAAAAAATGGAGATCATTAAACTCCGTAAACCTTTGTTATACAAATTCAACATCTGCTGAACACAGTGAAGTTTAAACACAACATCTGCTGAAC